TGGTTCTCTCTGGATCCTGACTAGGCTTCACTGTTCCCACCCTAATCCTCCTCTATGCTAATGTGACCTTCCCCTGGGAGCTCTGCGGATTCTGGCCTCTGAGCTGGATTTGTGCTAGACGAAATCCTCCCTGTCCCTCGGGCCCAGCTAGTTTGAATTTGGGATTACCATCTGGGCGAGACACTCTGTTCCAATGATCTTAAAATTCCTTCCTTCCCAAATATCTGTCTTCGCCTTCTGTGAGGCATGGGAGAGGCTTTCCCTGTGCCTGAAAAATCTGAAAAAATTAAATTAAAAAGTCATTACGGCCAGGGGAAAGTTAATAAGAAAATCCTAAGACGGATGTATCAGCTTAAGGCCCTTCTTTGTGAACCTTTATTAAACTTGCACGAATTAAAATAGACTCTTGGAATAAACTTCACCAGAGTGTATGAGGAATCGGACTCTAGGACACACAGTTCTCCCCCATACCATGAAGTCGGGGGAAGGACGCCCCCCATTCCGGAGCAGGCCAGTGTGGAGCCCAGGCCCAGTGTGCTACCCCTCGGAGGTGCACCCGAGAGACTCGGCTCTCAGGTGACCACACCAGGACCCACCCAGTCGTCTGATCCAAGAGAGAAGTGCCCGGAGGATGCACGTGGTCACGAAACCTGAGGGCCGGGGTTGTCAGGCATGGAGCCTCCACCAGGAACAGCCCCTCCTATCACCGCCACCAGGTGTAAGGACCAGAGCACCTGTGCCCCACATTGGGTGGGGCACTGCCACCTGCAGATGCCAGAGCAAGAGGCCTCTGCCTCACTTGTGAACCAGTCCGGCAGGCGCCTCTGACTAGCAGGTCCTAGGTCACCTGACCAGCTCATGGCTGGAGAGGAAGCTGAGAAAGCAAGTCCCGGAAAATAAAGATGGGAATTCCAAAGGGGATAGACAGCCAGGCAGCCTCACAGCTGTCCCCTACACTGGTCCTGGCAACTTAAATAGAAAGGAGACACCTCATGTCTCAGAAGCTGGAAACGTCTTCAACTGGAACACTGACATCAGGTACAGCTGGATCCAGGCTCCCACAGCCACCAGGAGCCTCCACTGAGCCGTGCTTCTTCTGAGCCAGCGGCATTCTCAGGCTGCGGATGGCAACCCCACCCAACACCTTCAGGCAGGTGTGGGCACAGCACCCACGCCAGAGATGGGGGCCACCAGAACTACGCCCTGATCGGCCAGTGTCGGCCACATGCCCACTTCTGAATTACTGCAGTGGGGGGTTGAGGGTCTAGAGCAGGGAGCCACAGTCTTTTCTGTCAAGGACATAAAGTCATTATTTTTTAGTCTGGGGCCATACGTGCTCTGTCACCATTACTCAACTCTGTTACAGATACTATGTAAACGAAGGGGCACGGCCCTGTGCCGATAAAACTTTATTAACAAAGTAGGCGGTGCCCTGAACTTGGCCCAGGGGTTTGCCAGCCCCAACGCTAGCTCTCCATCCCCTCCAAGCCCCTCAGGAGAGTCAGGTGCTGTGGCCCCAGGCCCACATTTGGTAAGCCTGGTCATCCCTCCCTCTGCAACAAGCAGCCGGGCCCTGGGGCCCGGAGCCGGACCAGGTCCCGCACACCCCGCACAGAAGGCCAACATGGGCCAGGAGCTTTGTGTGCAGTCTCCTCCATCCCCGAGCCCTCAGAGAGATGGGGTGCCCATTCTGTAGACGGTAAAACCAGTAATTCTCACTCAGCCCCAGTGGAGACGGCCTCCTGCTCTGGGGGGACGTGGTGACATCCCTGCAGAGGGAACGGCCCGGGGCACAGCAGGGAAGGGCTGGGCAAGGTCTACCAGCAGGAGGCAGGTCTCTAGGACGGCTCCAATGACCCAGGCCTGCCGCCACCGTGAGCAGACGTGTCCCAGCAGGGCTCTGACCTCGTGGCCCTGCTGGCCGCTGCAGTCACCCTGCCCCCCTCACTCCCACAAACGCAGAGGGGCCGTGTCGCAAGCATCGTCTGCCTCCTCCAGGCCATCCGGGGGACAATCCTGGAGGTTTGCAAAGCCCCCCACTCCCAAGGTCCTTCCACCTCTTCCTCTGCCCAGCTCCCACTCCCCCGAGGACCACTGGAGGGCATCACCCCACACCTGGGTTCCTCCCAAGAGCTCCCAGGGACCAGGTCACCCCCTTACCGACACACACACACTCACAGCCCAAAGTGGCCCTGAGCCGCCCCGGGATGACCCCCTCCTGTCCCCCAGCCCCCAGCCCTCCCTCACACTCCCTAGGTGCCTCCCAGAAGCCTGGCTGGGGTGGAGCCTAGTTGCCAGCCTGCTGCTCCCGCTGGCGGGTCAGGCGCGGGAGGACAGCGGGGCACCTGGGCCGCTGGAGAAACGGGAACGGCGACGGCGACAGGCAGGCCATCAGCTCGGGATGATCGCGAGCGCTGGTGCTCCCGAATCCCACAACGGGGTCTCATGCTGCTGAGTGGGACTGAGTTGGAGGGCCGCCGTCCCATCCAGCACTGGGCCCGCTGGACGAGATCCCACTTGGGATAAATTCAGTTCTTCCTGCTGACAAGGTGATGGTATCGGGGTTGGAAGGCTTGCCCGTGCCAGGAGACAGATGGGGGCTGTTGTCTGCGCCTGCGCGGCGGGCTGTGGGGTTCCCTGTGGAGCGTGGAGGCCGGGAGCCCAGTCTTGTGCTCTGGCCCTGGAGGCAGCCGGCCTCGTGGGGGGCTCGCAGTTCCACCCTCGCTCTGACCGTCCCTGCTCTGTGCGTCGACTGCCTCATCCACTCGCCCCTGCCTGCATCTTCCGTACACATCTGCCACAAGTCTGGGGACGGCCCCCTGTGCCTCGCTGACAGTGGGGGACAACAAGCTCACACCGGTCCTTTGGGTGAGTCTGCACCCACCTTCCCTCCTTCTCACCAACAAGCGTCTCCGGGAACAGAAGCTGCTGGGCCTCGGCATCCCCATCTGTCCATGGATGGTCTGCCCAGCAGACGCCATCCCTTGGACACACATGCCAGGTGGCCGTCCTTCAGTGCCACCCAGCACAGACAGGACAGGCTGAGCTGCCATGCTCTGACCTTGTGGAATCCAGAGAAGGACAGAGCCACCAGCCTCGATGTCTCCGACACGCAGCCGCTGATGCCACCCTCGGCCTTCTGGCTCCCGTCCCTGGAAGTCAGGCCCCTGCGTTCAAGCCACGGCGGCCCAGTTTTCCATGCACTGCGCCCCAGAACCCCTCCCCAACCACCAGCTGAGGCTTGAATTCGTAAGTGTTCAGGGCAGAAAACCATCACAACCATCGAGGCCCAGTCTCTCTGGGAGGTACCAAGCTCCCGACGGAGAGAGCAGGAAACCTAGACGCCACACGGAGAGAGGTCCCGCTGCCTGGCCCCGTCTCGCCCGCAAGGAGAGGGTCCCCTGTGAGCCGGCTCAGCCAGCCAGGGCTGCACGCAGGGCCCCGAAGGGCACCTGCAAGGGCTCTGGGCAGACGTGTGTAGGGGTCGGGCCCTTGGGCTGCGGTCAGGGCTGGATGTGTGTGAGGGACCCCAGATGGTGGCTGTGGCCTCAGGAGCCCCTCGGTGGCAGAGGCCACGTGGCCGGCTGCCTCACGTGACCCTCACTGAGGGGCGGGGGCTGGTTCTGGAGCAGACAGGGCCCAGGCCTGGTGCCCTGAGCGCACAGGAGGACCGTCTCCGGCTAAAGCGGCTCCATGTCTGGTGCCCTGAGTGCACAGGAGGACCGTCTCCGGCTAAAGCGGCTCCATGTCTGTCCTAGGGCGTGCACAGGCGTATTTGGGCCAGAGCCCCCACATGGGCACGAGGCAGGGTGGCTGTCCTGGTTGTGACCAGGAGGCTTTGTGCCACAGCAGGTGCAGCGGGGGTGGGGGGGCGGGAGGATGAGGCTCGGAGCCAAGCTGCCTGGGACATTGGCCAAGCCCGTGCAGACGACTTCCTCCCCGTCCTGTGACCCCGCCGCCTTGACTGGGGGCCGGATCCTTAGAGCTGACACTGGGCGCCCCATTGTGGGCCCAAAGGTCTCTTAATCTCTCTTGCTTCATCTGTAAAACGGGGATGAGGGCGGGGCTACCGCGGGGAGCGGGAGAGGTAATGCTCCGGCAGCGCCGGTCTGGGCGCCCACACCTGGTGGCCGCTGTCAGCTGTGCCACCGTAACCACAGTCAGACACCCGAGATCTCCGTCCAGACTCTGTCTCCAGGTTTTGTGGCTCGAAGCCACACTGCAGGGTCAGGCCCACCACACAAACGGCAGGACCCGGTGCGAAATAAGGAACCGGGCCCCTAGTCTGCAAATTATTAGGGGTTTCAAGACACTGAGAGCAGAGCGTTCAGCCAAACTCGGGCCCTTCCACGGGGCCACGGCTGCACAGGCCGCACGTCGGTGGGGCTGGCCCTTAGCAGTGATTCTCACTCGGAAGGGGGTGCCCAGATTGCTACCAGCACCCCAACTCACACACACACAGAGCATCTTTCCCTGCACACAACCAACTCAGCCACATGAACTACAACCACTGACAGGGTGGGGGCGGTCAGCAGGAAAAAGGGCTCTGTGTTTGGTATTACACATTGGTGGCTGCAGACCCCAAGCCCTGAGCTAATGGTGGGACAGCCGGGATGGCAGGACCCTGGCCAGGACCATCCTGGGGAAGGCCCCCAATGCTCTCCAGCTCCCGTCCTGCAAATGTTGAGTCTCTCCTGCGTCGCCACTGTTGCACAGGCCTCCAGGGCACAAGGGGACAATCTGGGGGTTTGGGGGGAGGCCAGTGGGCATGTGTGTGTGTGTGCAGGTGGAGGTTCTGTCTGGAGGTGGGTGGTGGGCACAGCTGGAGGAACCGGAGCCCTCTGGGGATACCACCATGCCCATGGAACGGGTGTGGGAGTCCCCATGTACAGAAGCAGCTGGAGACTGAGGGCATCCCGCAGGGGCTGGTAGAAAGTCCCTCCTGACCTCCCCAGGCTCCCGCAAGGGTTGAGGACACTGTCTTTCCTTATGTTCTGCAGTACGCGGGGGAGGTCCCGGAAAACCAGGTGGAGGTGGTGGTCGCAAACCTCACCGTGATGGACCGAGATCAGCCCCACTCGCCCAACTGGAACGCCTTCTACCGGATCATCAGCGGGGACCCCTCCGGACACTTCAGCGTCCGCACGGACCCCGTCACCAATGAGGGCATGGTCACTGTGGTGAAGGTGGGTAGTCTTCCTGCCAGCCGTCGTGGGTTCTGTCCCCTGCCACCACCCAGGACAGAATGGACAGAAGTGATACGGTTCAGTGCGAGCCACCTCTGACATCTGGGCGCAAAGGACTGCGCCCGTCTGCTCGTGTCACAGGCAGGCTTCACGAGGCCTGGTCACGCGACCGCCAAGGACTCTGCAGCCTGACCTGCCCCTCCCCCAAAAGATCACTTTCCTGTGCCCTCCCAGAGGGTTGTATTTCCGCCTCAGTCCACTAGTGCGTGAATGCCATTGAGAGCCTGTGTAATGTCAGACCATCCTTGCATTCCTGAGATAAACCCAGCTCAGCCAGGAAGGGGTACGTCTTCGCCGTGCACAGCAGGTCTTATCTCTCTGAAACTGAAGACCCCCCTGTGCTTTCCTAAGCAGCAGAGGCTCCTACCTCTCCTTCCCCTTACGGCCTTTATCCAGCACTCGGTGTCGCGACTATAGACGAATCTCGAGAAACGTGCTGGGAACAGGGGTGTGATGATGAGGGGCAGGGAGGGGAGCTGGGGGACTCGCACCTCTCCAGCGTGGTGGTGGAGATGTGCGCTTGTCACATGTCACAGATGAATCCCACCCTACAAGCGCTGGAACCCTGAGCACTGAGAGCATGGGCAGCCGTGCTGTCCCGCGGAGACTGGACCCCGTGTCCGAGCCACACTCACCAGCTGGGCCACACGGCTCTGTGTTCCCTTTTCTCCTTGTTATTCCACACGGGCTTTTCTCTGAACTCCACATTTAAAGTCTGTTTAAGGCAAGATGCTTCGTCTTAGATGGCATTTCGGGTTATTTTCACTCCCTCCGGTGGAGACACGGTGTTTTCAGACATTACCTTCCGGTGGGGCAGGAGGGGGCATGGGAGGTGTGAGGCGGTTGGGGGAGTCTGCTGCCGGCTGGGGCGGGGGGCATATGTTCTTGGCTTCCCGGGCTGGCTCTTCACGCGCTTACCCCTGGCATGGGCCTGTAGCCCTCTCTGTGCCCCAGATGCGGGGCCTATGCCCGGGGCTGTCGCTGACATTATAGCGGGCCCTGGCTACAGATCTGGTACAGCACCCGGCCCACGGTGACAGCAGAGCTGACAGAAGCAGCTCCTGTCCTCACTGTGAACATCGTCACCAAGGATACGGGACGGCTGTGCTCCCACAGGCTCCCCAGGGTGCGAGGAAGGTCCCTTCAGTCCCACCAGGATCCCTGGGACCCCTAGAGGAGTCGGGCCACCTGCCGTGTTCACGCTCTGCCACGCGGCCCGTCACTGCCCCAGCCTTCCCCTCATTACACAGCCTGCTGCCGCTTCCGTCCCCCTGCCCCCAGGTGGAGGGACTCCTGGACCGCGGCCTCCGCTGCTCTGAGGGTGGAGAAGACACCGGGTAGACGTGTGTGTGGTCAGCCAGGCCCTCGGCTACCTCGCACAGATCCTGGCTGTGTCGTCTGTCAGCCCAGTCACCTCAGGCGGGTGTTCCTGACCCCTGCCCTGCCCCCCACGCCCCTGAGCTCCATCCTGCCCCCCATGCCGGCCCGCCACCTCTCAGGCTCTAGCCAAGCTGGGGCACAGCCACTTTGCTGTCAGACCGCTGGCCCCAGTGGGCGTGGGCCCCGTGCCCAGCCTCCTCAGAGCCCCTCCGCCACCTCCCCAGCCTCCCCCACCTCCCGCCACGACAACACCCCCTCTTCCAGGCTCAGACCAACCCCAGGCCCCTTCTCCTGCCGCACACCTGGAGCACAGCCTTGAAGCAAGCAGCGTCTTTGGAAACAGAGGACAAGCTCTGGCCCCAGGACCGGGGGGGGCAGGGGCGCTGGCAGGAGCCCCAGGGAACAGGCGGGCCAGAGACAACCCCCCCCCACCAGCCCAGCCCCTGCAGTCCTGCTGTAACAGCCCCGAGGCAGCAGTGCATGGGAGCTCATCAGTCCCTCCCTGCCGCCTGCCCCAGCCCTGCCCCGCACAGCCTGCCCCCGCCGGGCAGCCTCTCCAGAGGCCACAGACCAGCCCCTCGCCTTTTAGCGGAGGGTCCTTGCCGCATCTGGGGAGGGGCCGGGCAGAGACCGGGCAGCATATCCGGCCACTCTAACTGAAACTGGTGGGCCAAATTACCTATCGATTTCTCCATTACAAATATGTTTTATTTCACCCTCCTGTGGACGTTTATTGGTCATAATAGTCTTTCTGGAAGGCCTTCTCACTCGGACGGGTGACACGGTCTTAATGCATGACACACAACATTATTCCGTGTCCCCCGGGGACATGAACCGATAAACAGGGAGAACGATTACTTCCCTTGGGTGCTTTGTTCGGAGGGAAGGGCCACCACGATTTTATGAAACTGTCCACTGCCATGGAGGAGCCCCGTGCCCAGACGGCTCTCTGAGGGGCCGGGGGAGGGGCCGGTGGCGTCAGCCGCTGTTGGTGGTGTGGGGACCCGGACACAGCGGGGACGCGGGGGCTGATGTGGGGGCATCTGTGCCCAGGACGGCAGAGCCACGCCACACCTGTGGGAGCGGCCCCCGGTGTGCGGCCTGAAGCCCCGGGCGCTGTCCTTCAGTCCTTCGGCTGCCAAGTCACCCCCCACTGGGTGCCTCCTCAGACGGGCTGCCCGCTTGGGCCCCTGAGGGTCCAGCCTGGGCAGCATCTGTGGGCACAAGGCCCTGCCGCACACGCACCTGAGCAGCGCCGGGCCTCGTGCTAGGGGATGAGCAATGGGGATGGCCCAGGGGGGTGTCCTCCCCCACGCTGACCCCCAGCGGCACCGCACTGATATAAGGGGCAGGCAGCCCCCTCCTCAAGGGGCTGTCAGGGCAGGGGAAGACATCAGCACGACAAGGTGTGTGCCACAGAAGGAAGTGGCATCTCACGGCAGGACTCCAGGGGGGCCTTCGGGAACCCCCCCTACTCAGGCCGACAAGAAGATCACACCCGGAGAGGATGACGGGGGTCAGCCCGGAACCCCGATCTCCAGAGGGCATCGGCCTCCAGACCCTCCTGTCGGGCTGGCATCGGGCTTCCGGGAACCCCCAGGCCCATCCCCTGACATCATAAAGCCCTTCTTCTCGTACTTAACGCCTCGTCTGTAGCCGCGCTGAGAAGGCAAAGGGTAGAAGCACCAGCTGTAAGGTCTTTAACGCTCACCCAAGCCAAACACTGAGCAGCTGGGGGACCCCGAGGAGGCTGGGGTTCGGGTTGGTGGGGAGAGGCGCCGCCGGCTGCAGGCATGGGCTCCCGACCCTGCAGATCAACTCCTCTCCAAGCAGAAACACGCTGTTGTGTGCGTCGTGAGCGCGTGCGGGCGCCCAGCAGAGGGAGGGTCCTGTCCACGCCGCAGTCTGAGCTGTTAGCTTGCTCCGGCCTGTCTCATCTCCAGTTCTTGCTGAAAGAGGTTTTCAACTCCCAGACCTCACGACCACGCATCTCTATGTAAGTCGGAAGCGTCCCAATCAGTAATCTGTTTGGCCTCCGTACGTGCACGCTGTCACAGCTGTCACGCCCCTGACGAGAGCAGCCGTCCGCCCTTCGTATCCTCCGATGCGAGTCTGTTCCATGTCCTTTAACTTTCCTCAAAGTGTCTCTTTGCCGTGGTTCTTCAGATCTGGATCCGAATAGGGATCATGCAGTTGGTTGAGCACCTCTTGACTCTCTCATAATCTAGAACATTCCACCCAGTGTTGACCTGTCACAGACACAGGTCAGCTGGCCTACGGGAGGCCGCATGTGCCTTCCGCCTGGTAAATCTTGTTCCTCACTCTCCCACAGTTCCTGTAACCTGGGATTAGACCTTGAGGACAGGCCTTGTGCCTGGGGCTGGGTCGCATCCGGAAGCCCGTGGTGCCTGGTTGTCCCACTCTGGTCATCCAGGACCAGTGGGCTCAGGAGGTGACAGCCAGTTCCCATCGTTCCCATCACTGACTCTTCCCCCTTACGATCAGCCAGCGGTCCGAGTACGATGCTTCGTACCTGCAAACATGCCCTTTGCCGTCAGTCTCCATCCGGTTTTGTCGTCTGCTGGTGACCCTTGTGCATGTAAATGTCTTCACTAGCGAGTACAGAATGGTGCTTTTAAAATTCTGTCCTTCCTTGGCTGGAATTGTGTGGCACACGCTTAGCAAGTGTGAGTCAGGTAAGCATTCTGAGACAGGTGGTCACCCCGGGATATCCAGGGGGGCCCTGGGCTCACAGCGTGTCTGGGAGAGGGAGGCAGGAGATCAGGGTCCTGGGAGCCGTCGGGAAGAAGCACAGGTCACAGAGGGCCTCCGAGGGGCCAGGCCGCAGCTCTGCAGGGGGAGGCGGGCCCAAGAGCACGGGGGCCTCCCAGAGCCTCCAGGAGGACCCAGCCCTACCCACACCCGACGGCCCCGGGATGCTGATTTTTTACCTCTGACCTCTAGAACTGCAAGACGACAAATTTGTGTTCCTCTCAGCCACAAAATCAGAACAGGAAACTAATACAGAGTCCAAGAGAAAGGCAGAAGCTTCTTTTGCTGCCTTTAATGGTCCATTCAGACCAGCAGCTGTCCGCGGTCTTTCTCTGCTTACGGCGACTCTGTAACCATTCGCGTCAAGCTGGGTGTCTTCACACAATACATGACCCTCTCACACTTCTGGAAGTCGGAGTCCAAAATCGGGCTGAAACCAGAGAACTGCAAGGCTGTGCCCCGCCCCCCGGGGCTCTGGTGTTTCCATTGCTGGCTTTTTCCAGGTTGGCGAGCCACGTCCTTACTCCGTGGCTGGTCCTCCGTCCTCAGAGCCAGAGCCGTCTTTGCCTCAGTCCCCACACTGCCTGCTGCCTTGCCGAAGGACCCCAGCCCCCCTTGTAAACACCCTCGGATGCTATGTCGGGCCACCTGGGTAATCCCGGGCCGGCTCCCAGTGCAATACCCCGAGCTTCATCAGTGCACAAAGTCCCTGTGCCGCGGACGGCGACACAGTCACAGAGTGCAGACCTTTGGACCTAGATGTCTTTGCAGGCCGTCTCTCCAGTGAGGACGGGTCCTTAGAAACCAGCATCCAGGCCCCAGAGGTGCTCGCTGCTCACTGTGGTTGGGCCCCGTCTTCTCGGGGGCAGAGCTGGGAAGCCGCATGGCCCAGCATGCACCCACCCTGACCGTCTCCGTCCCTTCCACCGATTCAGAGGGTCATTCATTTCAGATTTAACTCTGGAGGCTTTTACTTCCTTCTGATGACATCATACTTGTGTTTCTTACACTGAAAATCTTACTTCCTAACCACATCATCACACGTGTTTATTTACTTTACCCTACGTTATACATAAAAAGCTTTAAAAAGTTAACAAACCCCAATCACTACCCTCAGGGAGAAAGCCAAGTGAGCCGAAGATTCCTTTGCATTGATTCTTGTCCTTAAAATAAATCACATCAGGACCTACCATCTAAGCACTGTGCCCTGGTCACCTAAAGCCGTTCTTTTCCTGGGAGTTACGGTAGACTGCAGACCCCTTCTAGCATTTGTCAGTCACGGTCCTGGAGCCCCAAAAGGGTGTAACCAGGAATCATGTTCCTGCAGGAGCCACGTGCAGAGGGAAGAGAACCCACAGAGCTGGTGAGGGAGAGCCCTGGGGCTGCTGTGCCAAACTACCAAAAACTGGGGGGGTTAGAACAACAGAAGAGACTGCCTGCTGCACCCAGCAAGGGGCTCCTAGACAAATAGCCATGGGGCCTTGACCTCACCAGCCTGGAGGGAGCAGCACCTGCTGAGAGGTGGCACTGGGAAGGGGTGCCACCCCCTGGGGGCTGGAGCCCCAGGAGCCCAGCTATGGCCCTACCAGGACACGATGGGAAGGCACGGTAGGGTCCTTTACCCCAAACTCTCCTCCCATTGTCAAGCCCCATGGGAAGCCAGAGACAAGGGAGGTTGGAAGTAGCTTCCCTTGGGACCAGCATCATGGGAGAAGGGGGCGCTGACCCGGTGACCCATGCACAGTTTTCCCCTCTGAGCCCACTCCGCCGGTACCCGCGCCCACTCACCCCTGCGGGCCTCTCTCATTCCAGGCAGTCGACTACGAGCTGAACAGAGCCTTCATGCTGACTGTGATGGTGTCTAACCAGGCGCCCCTGGCCGGCGGGGTCCAGATGTCCTTCCAGTCCACGGCCGGGGTGACCATCTCCGTCATGGACATCAACGAGGCACCCTACTTCCCCTCGAACCACAAGCTGATCCGCCTGGAGGAAGGTGTGCCCACCGGCACCGTGCTGACCACGTTTTCGGCGGTGGACCCTGACCGGTTCATGCAGCAGGCTGTGCGGTGGGTCCGGCCTTGGGCTGCAGGAAGGGGCTCCCTCCCACCCTTGGGCTCCCTTGCTTCCCACGCAGAGGAGTCCCATCCTGCCCAGTGACACCTGCACCCCAGGAAGTGCCCGACCTGTGTCATCCCTCCAGGCAGGGAGCCCCAGGAGCCCCCGTCCTGGGGACGGCCCGAACCCCCGTACCGCGGGATCCAGGCGGCCAAGGCGATGCCACTGGCGCTCAGCCAGCCACGAGCACCACGTGGTCGCTGCCCAAGAAGGTGGAAGACCTTCCAGCACCTGCAGCCGTCTCGCGAGTCAGGCTGGTTCTGACCTGGCTGGTCACCAGCTGTGACGCTGCAGGCCACCTACCCCTTCCGTCCCTCAGTCTCCCCGTCTGCAGAGAGGGGGCAAGGAGGGCATCTTCCTCCTGGGGTCCTTGTGAGGGTCGGGTGGGCAGGGAAACCTCCCCATGTCCAGGCGGGCGCCCCACAGCGGGTGGAGCTAGGGGCTTGGGGCCACTGTCCCCCTCACCGCCTCACCTCCTCCCTCCTCAGATACTCCAAGCTGTCGGACCCAGCAAACTGGCTGCACATTAACACCACCAACGGTCAGATCACCACGGCCGCCGTCCTCGACCGCGAGTCCCTGTACATCAAAAACAACGTGTACGAGGCCACCTTCCTGGCGGCTGACAACGGTGCGCCTGGGTCCGGGGGGCTACGGCCGGGGGCGTGCCCAAGCCTGGGCTCCATGGCCGGGAGACAGAGGGAGGCCCGCCCCCAGCCGGAGAAGCCGGAGGAGGGAAGCGGGGAGGCGGGCGCCACGCACGTGCCACACGCAGAGCCCTGCCCTATCGTCCCTCAGCACCCCCGCGGCCCCCTCTCCGCAGGCCTCCAAGCACAGCCGCTGCCTGACCACCAGGCTCACGTGCGGGTGCCAAGCCGTGCCCCTTCGCTCATGCGTGACGCTCCCCGGGGGAGCCAGGGTGGCAGAGGCGGCGTGACGTTTGTCCTCCCTGTCTCGGCTGAACGAGACCCGAGCCGCTTCTCAGCTCCCCACCTGGCGAACGGAGGGCAGCCGACCACATCCACGTGTTGCCTGAGCAGCCCCGTCATGCTGACCACACACTGGGGGTGGGGGCTTCCCCTAAGCAGCCCCTGGGACGCTGCCCCCTGTGGCTCTGACCACCCGTGACCCCTGCAGCCCTCTGTCAGAGCTGGGGGTGGGAGGGGACATGAGGGGCCCCAAGAGACTGGGCAGGCACCGTGAGAAGCCACACACCAGCAGCACAAGCCCTGGGAGCTTGGAGAGTGTGACGGTGAGGCCCCCGAGCCAGAATGAGGAGCCCTGAGGAGCCTGGGGCTGCAGGGGTGACAGTGAGCCAAGCAGGGGTGAGGAGGTCTGGGCAGAGGTGGCAGTAGTGGGGCCCACATGGGGCAGGAAGAGGAGTTGTGAGCATTGGACCTTCCAAGGGATGTGGACAGCATCTCCACAAGTGGGTGCTAGGACTCCAGGCCCTGAGGCCACTCCTCCCTGGACCCAGGGCATCCAGAAGCTGGTGAGGCCCATAGCCCCAAATACCCAGCCAACTCTGCACAGGAGGGGAGAGGGAGTGAGGGAGAAGGTTCTAGAACCAGGGATAAGTCCCAGCATCACTTAGTGGTGGAAAGAGTTCTGACGGCTCTGTGCCTCAGTTTCCTCCTCCGTTGAGTGGGGACAACCCTACCCCCTCCCCCAGAGCTATGAGAATTAAGTGATCCAGTGTCCTCAAAAGTTTGGGGAGTGGGGCCTGGCCCAAGTCAGCACACTGCTCCTGCTCTCACTACTGCTGAGCTGCTCTGTGCCCGGCACAACCCATCAGTAGACAGACCCAACAAAAGTCCCTCCCTTGCAAGGCTGACGTCCCCAGGGTCTGTGTGTCAGCTAAAACTAGGTTCAGCCGTGTAACAGTGATAGAAATTTCAACACAATTGCAGCTTATTTTCTCCCACATAAAAGAAGACTGGAGACAGGCAGACCTGGGGGGCCAGGGTCAGGTTTGAGAAACCAGGCTCACTCTGGCCACGAGTTATGGCGTGGCCCAAAATGGCTGCTGTTGCTCCAGTCATCACGACCACATTCTGGCAAATAGGAAGAAGAGCAAGGAAGGCAGGGACATGTTCCTGCATTTCTAAGAACGTCTACCCCCAGCTCACAAAGGCCAGAACTTAGCCATGAAGCCTCACTGCACCGCACGGCTTGTTGAGAAATGTAGTCTAACAGCTGGGCGGTCATGATCCCAGATAAAATCTGGGGCTCTGCTTCTTCTATTAAGGACAAAGGGGAAATGGATATTGAGGGACAACTCAGCAGTCTCTTGCCCCAGTGAGATGAATGAGAAACAAGTCAACCAGATAATTTTAGGGAGTACGTTTTGGAAGAAAACAAAACAGGGTGTGGGAGGGAGGGGCTGGGCTTGTAGCTGTGCTCCTGGCTGTGAAGCGCTGACCGTGGGACCAGAAGGAACAAGCCAGGGGAAGAAGGGGCAGCAGGGGAGTCCCAGAGTTAGGAAGCGGCATGCGCAACAGTCCTGAGGTAGACTTCTGGCGGTCTGCTGTGGCGGGTTCTAGGACAGCGGTGCGCCTCCGGCTCCAGGAGCAAGAACAGCAAGAGTGCTTGCACAAAGGTTCATTGCATAGCAAGTGAAAGCCAGGGCCTGGTAACCACCCGCCAGCCTCCCTCCTGCCTTCCCCGACCTACGGGGTCTGCTAAAGCCCGGTCCTGAAGGCTGGCCAGGAGGTGCGCCGGCCCTGGCTGGAGGGGAGCTGCTGGATTAGAGAGTGATTTCAAATGAACCCATGGCCAAAGCAGCAGAAAGCACAGAGGACAGCGGAATGGGGTGCAGGCTACTGGGCTCCTGCACTCCCCCCGACGGTGCCCTGATTGAGGGCGTCTAGCTGCGGGTATCGGGCTTGGTGGGGCTGGGGGCTGACCCTGGGCAGGGCACTGGGGCTGTGTCTTCACCCAATGTGCATCATTGTGTGCCTGAGGTCGTGGGGGAGCCGCTTCTTTAGGATCACGCCGTGTCTGTCCCACAGGGATCCCCCCGGCCAGTGGCACCGGGACCCTCCAGATCTATCTCATCGACATCAACGACAATGCCCCAGAGCTGCTGCCCAAGGAGGCGCAGATCTGCGAGAAGCCCAGCCTGAATGCCATCAACATCACCGCGGCCGATGCTGACGTTGACCCCAACATCGGCCCCTATGTCTTCGAGCTGCCTTTTGTCCCAGCCGCCGTGAGGAAGAACTGGACCATCACCCGCTTAAATGGTGAGCCTGCCTCACGCTCCAGGAGAACTGGACACGCCTGGGGTGCCGCACCTCAAGGGGGCCCATGGAAGAGTGAGCTGTGGAGACAGGGCCCTTTTCCCCCATGGGGTCCCATGAGGCTGGGGCCCCTGGCCATGTGCCAGTCCATCCCTGGAGGGTGCTATGAAGGCAGCCTGGCCCCACTATCAGAACGAACACAGCCATCAATACCTACAACCCAAGCCACTCCTGTCTCTGACTGCTTCCTGCACTGGCCACTGACTGATGGGACCCCAACCGATGTCTTTCCTCAGGTTACTTCCCTAGATGCGGCCTTTTTGTATAAAAGGGCATCCAACTCCTGAAAGTTTTCTAGCACTGTGAGGTTGCATCTAGAAGGGTCACGCCAATTTCTAGTTTCTCTGGGAATACAAGAGAGCACCTTGCCTATTTTTCTCTGGGAAGGTTTTTTTTTTCTAATTGATTTAGTAGAACTCTTTATATATTAAGGAAATTGTTTTTTCATCCAACAAGTTGCAGTTGCTCTTTCCTTGAATTGCCAATGTCTTTTCACTTTGTGGAGTGCTCCAACGTGAGTGTGCATGTATGCACGTGTGTGTGCGTGAACCAAAGAGGTATAGATTGTCATGCTATCAGACTCCGTCTCTCCCTTCGGATGTCTTGCTGTAACGGAGTGCTAGTTGTAGACTGAACAAAGCCTGTCCTTTCACTCTGGGCCAGGTGACTATGCCCAGCTGAGCTTGCGCGTCCTATACCTGGAGGCTGGCGTGTACGATGTCCCCATCATCGTCACCGACTCCGGAAACCCCCCGCTGTCCAACACGTCCATCATCAAGGTCAAGGTGTGCCCGTGCGACGAGCACGGGGACTGCACCACCATCGGCGCAGTGGCGGCGGCCGGTCTGGGCACCAGCGCCATCGTGGCCATCCTCATCTGCATTGCCATCCTGCTCAGTGAGTACGGCCCGGCCGCAGGCATGCACCCCGCCCCCCACGCGCATGCGCACCCTGCTCACCGTGTGGCCCTGCCCCCGCAGCCATGGTCCTGCTGTTCGTCGTGTGGATGAAACGCAGGGAGAAGGAACGCCACACCAAGCAGCTGCTCATCGACCCTGAGGACGATGTCCGCGACAACATCCTCAAGTACGACGAGGAAGGGGGCGGTGAGGAGGACCAGGTGAGGCCCCCTGCACCTGCTCCCGCCACGCTGGCCCAGGGGGACCTCTCTCCCGCGTGCTCTCTCCCCACCGCCCCGGACCTCAGCCCCAGCGGGGGCTGTTGGGTGATCCGGCAGCCACGCACGGGGCGCCGCAGGGTGAATCCAGGGGGCTGCCTGGCTGGACGCCAGGTCTGCGCCGGCCGGCAGGGGACTCGGGGCAGCTCCTGACCCCGCTAAGGCTCCGTGCCCCCTGAAGATAGAGGGGCGGGCGCTCCCAGGAACACACGCACCACCGGAGCTGGGGTGCGCCGGGGCGCATCAGACTGGCGAGGGCGGCGGGGCACAGACCCCACACGGGCCTCGCGGCCGGGCTGACGGGGGCGAATCAGGGTAGGGCGGACCAGGTGACGGGCCAGGACGCCGGGCATGCTGGGTGCAGGATCACAACAGGACACCCCTGCCCCCCTCCTCGCCCGCCGCCCCCCAGGACTATGACCTCAGCCAACTGCAGCAGCCGGAGGCCATGGAGCACGTGCTGAGCAAGGCGCCCGGCGTGCGGCGCGTGGATGAGCGGCCCGTGGGCGCAGAGCCCCAGTACCCCGTCAGGCCCGTGGTGCCCCACCCCGGGGACATTGGGGACTTCATCAACGAGGTGGGTGCTCCGGCGCGGGGGTGGGGTGGGATTGCTGCGCAGCCCCCCCACCCCCGCAGAGAATGAGGTCCCGTGGCCGCATCGCGCTGGGACGGCCGGGCAGCGATGAGGAGGCCCCGCCAGGCCTGGGCTGGGGACCGAGGCGGTGCGGCCACACCCCTCCCCGCCCTTACCCGAGGCCCAGGTCCCTACCGCCTGCTCTCTAACGCCGAGCGCGTCTTGAAGAGGGCTGGGGCGCGCCCCCACTACCTGCGAAGCTAACTTGAAGGGGACTGACACGAGCAGGTGGAGCCCCCAGTCCGGTGGAGACCGGGGACACTCCGTGACGCTGGTCCGGGGCCGCAGGTCAGAGCTCCACGAGGGCACAGGAGCTGAACGGCTGACACAGCGCTTCCCCCGGGCCGGACTGAAGTCGAAGCCCGGACGCACGCCTACTCGGTCGCGAATCGAAGGCCGGTTTTCAATACGGCTTCGAGAAAAGCCAGCCATGCCCACCGCGGGCGGCGAGGGCGCCCCTTCCCAGGGCGGGGCTGGGCGTCGACGCGCGTCCTGCTGCGAGGGACGGCCGCGGGCACCCCGGCCACCGCTCGCACTGCGCGGGGACCGCCCAGAGCAGGCAGGAACACGCGCCCCCCAGGGGCGGGGGCAGGGTGCGCGCAACGCCACAGTCACGGGGACCGTCCTGGGGCAGAGCAGGCAGGGGCGCAGAGGGAGGGAGGGAGGACGGACCAGGCCACACGGGGGGTGGGGGCGAGAGAGGCCTCCAGCAAGACCTGCTGCCCCCCCCAGTTTTGTTCATGCGGATAATGAACGCTGGAGATTTCTGGTTTCTGCCCACCTCAGGCTCATGTTCTGTGCTGCAGCGACAGGGACTCTGCCCCCTTAGGAGGGGCTGCACCTAGCCCCGCCACCCCCTCAGCCCTCGCGCCTCAGGATACTGGCCTGGCGGTGCCAGCATCTGTGTTAGGTGCCTTCAATAGGCGGCCCTTTCCATAAACCCCATCCCTCCTCGGCTCTCCCAGAGGCCCCTCAGTTAAACACGGGAGCATTTACTGACCACCTACTGTATGCAAGGCCCAATAACGTCACCTTCCTGGCCTGCTTCCCCAACTCTGCTCCTGGGCACCCCTCCAAGCCGCATTCCGTCAGGCCCTGGGTCAAGAAAGCACGTTCTCCACCCTAACGCTGTGTCTTTGTGACCCCAGGGACTCCGAGCCGCGGACAATGACCCCACAGCACCCCCCTACGACTCCCTACTGGTCTTCGACTATGAAGGGAGCGGCTCTACGGCGGGCTCCGTCAGCTCCCTGAACTCGTCCAGCTCCGGGGACCAAGACTACGATTACCTGAACGAGTGGGGGCCCAGGTTCAAGAAGCTGGCAGACATGTACGGCGGGGGCGAGGACGACTGACGCCCGCGGAGCGGCCCGCGGGGGGTGCCGGGCTTCCCGACTCCCCGCGGACGTGTCATTTAGTGGTGTGTTAGGGGGTCCCTCCCCGCCCCAGCCCCCCCAACAGTGAGCTGTCTGGCATGAACACGTCTCGCCCCGCGGCGCGCCACCCACCACAGTAGCTGACTGGCACCGAAGGACAGCGAGAGGCACTCTGTCTTAACTTGAATTTCTTAGAACAGAAGCACTGTTTTTAAAAAAAAAAAAAAAAAAATGAAAGTGCCTTTTGGTACATGTATCAGATTCCCTCAAACTCAGGAGTGACGAAAAGCGAGCAGACAGACGAAAAGCGAGCAGACGTACGTCCCCTCAACCCCAGTCCGGAGCGCCCCCAGCCCCAGCTAGTCCCAGCTCTGAAGACACCAATTAAGGAATCGGGGAGAACATGCTTTTTTTTTTTTTTTTTTTACTTTTATTAAGAAAGAAAGTGGGTGGTTTGCTTAACTAAATTTACAAAGAAAACGGGGTCCAAACCCCAGTGGGCCTTCTGAGTCTGCAAGCTCACTGTGCACAGTTGGGGTCTCCTGGGCCCGCGGCCCCAAGGCTGGAGGGAGGCCAGAGGCCCAGCTGCAGGGGGCCCCCTGGGGGCGAGCCCAGTCGGTCTACCAAGGGCAGCACAGTGCGCACGTGGCTTTCACCAAGTTTTTGGCTGCCCCCCGAATCCTGACGTGCAGGTAGCTGGGGTGGGAGGGGCGGTGCCCAGGGGCTTTCCTGATGCTCACTGTCTCTGCCCTTGGCTGTCCCCCGGGCCCCCCTGGTCAACCATTAGGCCTCCCCTGGAGACAGATGTCACCCCAGATGCCACACTGGTCCTGTTGCCTTTGGTCCAGAAGAGTACGGCGTCCCAAGAAGCCACAGCCCAAACCAGCCAGCATCCTCAAACACCCTGACGTGAGCCCCCCAACTCCTCAAGGTCAGACTCCTAGAGGCCCCCGTCAAAGGCCCAGTGGCCCCGAGGGCTGTGCGGATGGCAGGGAGAGCTGGGAACACGCACCCCCGTCTCCGGCCACTGGCAGCCTCTCTCCCGGGCCCCGCCCCCTGGACCGAAGTCTCTGATGCTCGTGAGCAGACGTGGACAGCCAAGATCTGCTCCGGGCGGCCAAACCGCCTGTTGCTGCTGTGCCATCTGTCCCTCAGTGCGTCCGGACCGCACCCACCTGAAACAACTGTCTTTCCTCTTCTCGAGACCCAGGTCAGCACCGAGCAACTGCTCGGATCCTCGGAACAGAGCTGCCCTTTGCACGGGGGTCTGACGTGCAGGACGGTGAACAGCGCTCACTGTGTCCCAGGGACCCGCCGGGGAGACCCTGCTGTGTAGGACCACTCTGGCCTGTTCACAGGCTCCCCAAGAAGGGGGAGGAGGGGTGTTCTGGGCAGGACTTGGCATTGGAGTGCCCTTGGGGAAGGGGCTTGGAGCCCCATCCCAGAGCCCTGCGTCAGGAAAAGCCCCGAAAGCCTGGAGAGGTGGGAAGGGCCGGGCTCAGCTGGCTCCTCATGCTCTCGGCCTGGGGGTCTTTGATGCAGTCCTCACCCTACGGCCTGTCCCCGTGGCTAGGGTCACCCTGTTTTCCAAACAGCTTTGGCCCGAGAGGCGTACATGAGGGTAGGCGCGTGTGTGTAGTAGGCGTGGCTGTGTCCCCACTGGGAGTCAGGGCTCCTCCCCAGACCAAACTCCTCACTGACTCTACGGTTCTTCCAGAGCTGAGCCGGGCCTGTGGCCTGAGGGCGGGCCTGTAGCGGGCTCTGTCCCTGACCCCATCCAGACTGCCAGGCCGGAGGGACGGAAGAGGTCACCACGTCACATGCTGGATGCCCCTCCTTGTAGACCACCATCTGCGCGTCAGGGGATGGGTGGCCCACTGAGGGGAAGGGGCTGGGAGCCCTGTCCAAAGTCGTGTTGTGCAGGTGCCTCAGGGCCAGGCAAGGACAGCCATCCCCGCATCTGGGGGCCGCCATTCCAGGGACTGCTGGTAGGGTCAGGGCTGGTGGGGCGTGAGCTGGAGTCTTCTGTTTCGTGTTTGGAAACTCCACCTTCCTGTTGAACTTCCAAGTGTGACCATGGTCTGGGAGCGGAGGCAGCTGCGGACTCTGAATTTTTGAGGCCCCCTGGGTCCCCAGGGCACTGGGCCTGAGAGGACAGAGGTGCCAGGCCCGCCCTAGGACCTGGCCGCTGCACACCCATCCTGCAGAACCCCATGCAGGTGCCCGTCTCCCCTGCCGCCCTCTGGCTCCTCACCCCGCACCCCTGCCCCACACCACCGCCAGGCCCCTGGTGCATTTTGCCTAAATCATGCAGGCTGAGGCTGGGGGGACACTGATGGGGGACTTCTCGTGCCCGTCCCTGCTTCCAGACAGCTAGATGGCTGCCCCTCTCGTTCGCCCCAGCAGTCCCTGGGGGCCAGAGAAAGATGGGGCTCCCACGCCCTCCCACACCCACCTCGGAACCCCGTTCTGAGGTGAAGTTCGCATTAGCTAGATGCACAGGCGGTGTCAAACACCTCTCTCACGTAGCTTGTAGACACATGTCCCTGTGAGCGGGGACCTCGCTGGCAAAGTGCTGGGGGCACAGCTTAGTTTCTGTAGGGAGTTTCGTTCTGTGAACAGGAGAATCCCCGCGCCGTGGGGTGGGGCAGCATGGACGCGGCCTCATGGTCCCCAGCCGAGGACCCCCGTGTCGGTCTGGGCCTCACACCCCGCTCCTTGTCTTTCCCGTGTCTCAGCAGATCCAAGGGCTGGGCCCCCCGCCACCAAAGGGTCAGGGTAACGGCCACACGTCAGGTCCTCGACATGCCTTGGTTTCCCTGGGGTGAGCACCGGCCCACACACCTGGTCCTCTGAGAGGGCAGCTCTGTTCTCTCCAAGGGGGAAGGTTAGCGGAGTCTCAACTGTTGTTGAGGCTACAAATAGCACCAAAAACCCCAAACACGGCCTCCCGGCACAGAGCATCCTGCAAAGTCACTCGCACAGCGTGAGGCACAAAAGACAGGTCCTGCTCGGGCGACACGTCCCCCGGGGGGCCACCTCTGTGTATAATTGGAACGCGTTTCTTTTCCTTTCCTCTCCTTTTTCCATTCTGATTTTTTTTTTTTTTTTGCATGTTTCTTTTTGAAAATGGACAAACTGTGTAACAGCCCCCGCATGACTGTGGTTGTTTTGGGGAAAGGTCCTGGGGTCCGACGCATTCAGGCTGCAACTCTGAGCGTTGTGCAGTTAGGCAAACGTCCCGACTTTTTTTGTAACCGTCAACAGCACAACTATTTTGTATTGTCGTTTGTATCATTTTGTACCAAAAAAAAAAAAAAAAAAAGGAAAAAAAGGGAAGCGCGTCAATGTTTCCTCGGTGTGTTTTTCGTGCCAGGAGGTCTTGGTTCCAAAGTGAGTAGCAGCTTTGCCAAGTTGTGTGCCGGCGCGGAGCTGGGCCCTGGCGCACTGCTCCCCAGGAGTCAATAAAGTCCCACTTTTAAAGAGTCAGCCTCGCCCTGGCTTGTGTGTCTCCGTGCACCCACGAAGCCCCCGGGGCTCATGGACGGCAGGTGGGTGCCCGGGGGGCGTGATGTCGAGAGTGGGGCCTGTCGGTCCGCCCAGCCTCTCTGGAGCCCCTGCTTTGTCCCAGATGCCGTTCTGGGCTCTGGGAGCACAGCCATGAGCCCTAGCAGAGCAGCCTCTGGCGTGTGGGAGGCGCAGGGAACCGAGCGACGAAGGCCGGCGTGCCGCGGGTGTAAATGGTTCAAAGTCCTTAGAAGTCCGTGGCTGCCGTCTGGCCCAGCTGCGACGTGGCACGGCCAAGCCCAAGCAAGCCGCAAGTCAGGTGCTCCCTGCACCCCAGGCCCTGGCAAAGCTGGGTCTTCCAACTGCCTCTCCCCATGGGTGACCCCGGCCTTCTATTAGGAGCACATTTGCATCCACAATAAGGTGCATAACAAAAAGTCACTCACACGGTTAATTATGGGTGCGGTTGATAATTACAGGCACAATTAGCCACTTGCTAATTTTGAGAGTGCCGAGCAGCTAATTACATGCATAATTAGGCAACTGCTTCAGGGCTGAGACAGGCAGTGGGGGGCGGGAGGGCACGAACTCCTATCGTCAGACCCCCGGCGGAGGCTCTGCAGAAGGACACCCTCCTACCCCCAGATCCTGGTCATTCCACAGGCACAGTGTAACCACAACGGCCAGCTGGGCCCTCAGGGAGGCCAGGAGGCGCCTTCCCTGGAGACCCTGAGGCCTTCTCAAGGGTCACTTCACCGGACGGAGGCTGCTGTCCCTGTCCCTGCCCCAGGAGGGGCATTCAGACCCGTCAGGGCACAGGGGTACAGGGGCACAGCCCCCCGTGGCCTTGACTCCACCCGGAGGTGACAGCCCACCCTCAGGGCCCAGGAGGCTGGGTCCTGCTGACCAGGGCACCCTGGGACTGGCCCAGGGGACAGAGGGAGCTGCCCAGATGCACATGAGACCCCAGGACACCTCACGATGCCACGGCCACATGGTCCGTTCAGCCATCAATCCAAAGCCCACCTTCACGGCAAGAGGTCAAGGCCAGCCTTGCCAGGGAGAGGACAGCAGCCCCAAGAAGGACCCCTTGATCAGATTAGGAAGAGCCGGGGTTTGAGGACAGACAGAGAGCAGGAGCAGAAGGAAGATGAAGCAGTGTGCGGGGGAGGGTGGGGGTTGGGGGGCCGTCCCAGCCCTCCCCAGGCGTGGGGAGATGTCCACTTGGCTCTGGCTGTCTTGCCGGCCATGCCTGCGGACACCCCCACAGAGACCCACAGGACCATAGCCAGACAGTCTAGAGCTCCAGACGAGGCCAGTGAGCCCAATTTGGGCCCAATCAGGGCATGGCTAGGAGTGGACACTGTTGGAGGGTGTTCGAAGGAGAAGGGTGAGCACATGAGACGCAGGACCCAGCAAGAAACTTCCACGTTTCGGATCACGGTGCCACAAGCCACGGCCCCTCTTCCAGCAACCGTACTGTGGACGGATGGGCAGGGGCACCCTCGCCTCAGTCCCGGAAGGGCCACATGGAGAGAAGCAGACTCCTACTCAGAACGTAATTCGAGCAGATAGGCACAGACGGCACATTGCCTCGTGGGAGCCCAGAGCGCGGGTCCCCTCCTCCTCTCCCGTCTCACTCCGGACCCTGAGT